AACTCTCTCGCTCTCTATATCTCACACACACACATGTACACACAAATTCACCTGAAAATTAGCCTCAAATGGTCCAGAACAATTACAGAAATGTCCGAACTGCAGATCCTTCACAACCAGACTGAGTTGTACGTAGAAGTCTGGGGTGAATATTTCAGAATTTTTTTAATTTGTGTGCCACCAATCCGGAAAACCTCTGGAACATTTCAGGTGTGAAAGCATCTGTTGAGAAGATCCCATTCTCCTCGGAGGGTTTCTATCATGCAGATTTTATGGAGGTTGCATGTAAAGTTCCAAAGCGGCAATATAAACACACTTGCTAGATTCCACGCGACAGAGCTTTTGCAGCTGTGGAGATATCAATCAGGACTAAAGCAGGTTTCAGTGTGGAATGGTTTTTTGGTTGCTGGTTCGGTGACGCGTCAAGCAGAATAATTGTCCCAGAGTGTTTTTACGCTTAACTAAATCTGTCAGGCGTGAACAAAGTCTTAAAAGCACTGATTCGTGTTGTTGGCCCAAAACGACTGGATAACAACTATGAAATACACATTTTTGCCCGTGGTTTCGAAAACAGAGGCCGAGGCTTAAAGAGTTGAATCAAAGGAAATGCTTGAAAATGGCAGCATGCAGCGATTTTTAGACTAAATAGTTTCTAAGGGATCGGCAAAGGAGGCCGGAGTGTTTGTGTACGCTGTCGGTCATCTGGTATGGTAATCCTACCAGCTTGAACACAGGCAACTGGACTTATTATTTGATCTTGTAGATGTTTCACCTCTCATTTGAAAGGCTTTTTCATGCATATACATCTCAAAGGATTTTTTTTTTCTCCTGTTACATCACCGATGCGGGTAAAAAGTTATTCAAATCTCAGCCAGAAATAACGGATCATATTCATAAAGCAAGTGATCGATAACAAGTTTATCTCTTTGGTAGTGCTGCATTGATGCACTCAACAAGTCAACGTAAAAGTAGTCTGGACTGATCAATTGTACATGACAGATGCAGGTCTGGGCATTAAAAAATGGCTAATAGCGCTGCTAGCATGTTAAAAACATCGTGGATGGAAGCTTGTGGCATCTTTGTTTGGACGCCTTCTGTCTTTTTGACATGCCACAACGCTTCAAGCCTCCATGCGACCGTGAGCTCTGTGGATCGTCCAGAATAACAGTGGACATTGTCACCCAAAGTGTCAAGCTTGAATACAAATAAACCCAAGTTTTTTGCATGGACGCGCATCACCAGGAAGAGAGGAAATATCTGCGATTTTATCTTACAACATTTTGGAACAGAAGGTGGAGAATCTCTTGCACGTCGCTCTCATTTCTGGGAATATTCTAAATAAACACGCCGAAGGGAAAATGTATTCCTGCCGTGAGCACAAGTGGGTGAGCATGGACCTAGCGGGACGTTGATGGAGACTGGTTGGTCTTCGAGAGAGCAACCCAGTTAATATCTGACTAATTGGGGCACTAACGAGAAGATGTTACATTTCCTGCTGGGACATGATTGAAGCCTCCTGCATCGGGATTAAAAGCTATTGAATGTGGCTCAATGACCGAGGGGTAGGGGGAGGGGGGGAGAGAGTTATGAAAGGGGCGGAGCTACAGGGCAGTCGTTGGAACAACAAAAATTGATATTTTTCTGCTCTGACACAGGCCCCTTTGATGGTATACCGCTCACTGGGGACCTTGTTTATGCTTTTGCATTTATGAAAATGTGCTGCTCAGGTCTCTTTCACTGAGTCGATGGACTCCTCCCTGTACACAAGAAGTGATATTTTCAAAACATGCACCTCTTGCAAATGAGATTGCAGTTGCAGAGAAGGGGAGAATGCTCACGCCTTACGGTTAGGTATTCAAACAGCTAAATGCCTGAAGTAGACTGAGAGCAAACACCTGATGGCTCTCAAGCTCTGGATGAGGACTCTCTCCGGTGACGTGAGAATGACGCAATGCGAGGTACCACAGCTGTACGATGGAGGTGTTTCTCAGACCTGACTGTAATTGCGCTTAAAATGACAACACCACGAAATGGAATTGGTGTTACATCAACAACCCCCGCTGCCATGGTGACTCGATCCGTTTTAGCCTTTTATAAATTGGTTTAGCAAGAGAAGGAGAGGCAGTCACCCACGCGGAGGCCCGGTAATTAGTTTAATTCCTGGTCAGTTGTCGCAGCGTATCTAACAACTTTTTAACAGCTAGCGCTTCAGGGGGAGCACGTTTCGCAGAGAAATGAGCCCGGCGTGAGAAAACGCAGAGCCCCTCGCTTCTTGGAGAAGAGCCAGTCTGCTGGCAAGTGTGGGTGCGGGTGGGGGACTGGAGGGCTGCGGCAGCACATTGCCCCATCATCCCCCACAACATCTTCCACTACTATTTATGATGTGGTGTGCATGAGAAAAGCTTCACAAGGGGACCGTCGAGAGTCTGAATCAGCACTAAAAAATAAACGGAGATAGCTGTGAAACGGAAATCGCTTTTACATAGTCTTGCACACCACTCAGCCCCACTTAAACAAAGGATGCACAGTCAAAAGCCATTTTCTGTTTAGTTTAGTTGCTAAACTCACCAACTAGTAAAAAGATACATATTTCCACTCAGTATGTCACTGCAGAGCTTTGTCCTGAGACATGTAGTTTTGAATTGCCTACCTTTCAAAATCTTAACTCATCCAAGTAGTTTGTAATGTGCATAACAGAGATTTAAAAGCGCAGGGAATTAACCAAACCCAAGATCGGACTTTTCTATCGGACTGGCACATTGTTTATTGGCTCGACAGTTTTGTGTGTAAAGGAAGCTCATGGAAGCAAATCAATAGATCCCGTTTTGCTGACTGGTTCTTGTTCTTGCTGTGAGACTGAGTTGCTTTGAACTACCTACACATGATTTCTTCCTGCTGAAATATTGACCAGCATCAAAGTAATAAAAATAAATAAATCTGTCAATAAAAAAAAAGCTGCCAAAAGTTGTCAAAAAGAGCATTCTTTGTTGTAAACAGGAACTAGGAGCAGCTACAGAGTTTATTTCCAATCAACAGACAAAAAGAGTCACACACAAACCAGGAGGCTATTCAGTGAGAACCTTTTTGCGTGATAATGAAAGCAAAGGCTCAGGATTTAGAAGTGGATCATGATCAATCCCTTGAAATTTGAATACAGCTCTAATCCCAGCCACATTTCAGACAGACGCACAATTCTCAACATTAGAGTGATGCCAAAGAAAGATTCAGATTTATTCTTTGTTTTGACAGTATAGACTGTCCACCTGTGTACAAAGCAACGGGCTGTGTATTCTCTGGAAAACTCAGAACTAAAATGGACCCTTTGGTAGATTGTGTGTTGGAACATATTGCTTTGACCCTGAAAATGATTGTGTATGAGTGGGAACAACAATGAATATAGGTATTCTACACAGCAACGCACACACATACACACACACACACATTCTAACCTTTAGTTTTAAGGGTCAGAGCAATCTCAACCTCATTTTTATCACTCTGGCAACATACAGGCTTTTTCTTGGGTAAAGGTGACAAAATGGAACATGACTAGTCAAGGAGCTGCACAAAGGAAAGGGGACAGGGAGAGGAGAGTTAAAAAGAGGCTGAATTAAAATAAAGAGGAAAAAATCAGCCAATGGTGGAGGAAGACACAAGAAGCTTTGGCGAGGAAGGGAGAGAGGGAGAAAGAGGTGGGGTGAACACCAGCCATCAAATACGGGAAGTCAAGGCGGCTGTGACATTGTGAGCCACCAACCAGCCGTCCGGATAAAGTGTTAGAAAAGAGCCGAGGATGCGGAGAAACCCAGTGACATCTCCACTTCTGGTCTAGCTCATCTAATAAAAGACGGAAGTCCTTTATCTGTCCTTTATCTGCAGGTGAGATTTCACTTCTTTCTTTTTTTTCCTATCCCTTCTCCTTCTAGTTTGAACTTATCTGAATGTTGCATGTTGAATGGATATACAAATCCACAGTAGGAATCCAAACAAAGCCTCCCAGGAGCCTGTGCTCTGCCGACACGCATTCTTAACGAGACAACGTTGTGACAGCGTTGTTAATCGCGAAGCTGTGTTTCTAATTTTTCATCAGCTCTAAACACATTTAACAATATCTGAAAGCTTAATTTGATCATCATCATTACACATCGGCTCCACAGAGAAGTCGAGGAATTGGTCAAACCTTTTGTGGATTTCGTTTGTTGTTTAATCCAACTGACATTTCTTATGTCTGAATTGCATATACTTATGCATACGGTCAGTTGTTGTTAGACACGACAGTCTGCTGTGTTGTTTTATTAGTTGAGCAAGAATAAGTTACTACTTTTGAAGATGTATCTATATAAAGCATATGCCATGAATATACAATCAGTGAAAAAGGAAAAAATTATTGCCATTCTTATGTGTTGTGTTGTAATCAAAGATACCAAGATACTGAAGATGAAAGAGTTTCACCTGGATCTGCTTTTAAATCAGAAATTCTACTTTTCTCTCATCAAGGCAACCACGTTGTCCATTAGGCAATGTTTGTTTCCTTTTATTATATAAGGGGGAATACAAAGTATTCATTTTAGAAAAAAACAAAGATAAGCGTGATAAAAAGCAAAGATATATCATTAAAGGAGATTTTACAAAGAGAAAGAAAATATAAAAACAGCATTTTTCTATGTTGTTGATGATGTAATGCATCATTTCATGCACAGCTGCTGCTCAACGTGTCCTGTCACCTGTTAGCTGTGATAGCCACGTCCTATTTACTATTCACCACCGAACCGTGAAAAAAAATCTACAATGTGGATATGGATATCAGCTGATCTTAGTAGCTGCTCTTTAAGAGTCTCTCTCTGAGGATCCTGATGACATAAAAGTACTACTGTAGATAACAAGAAAATGAAGAAAACAAACTTTAAACTGCAAAATCTCACGGCTGCTCCTTTAAAATTAAGCTTTTCTACCTTGTTTTCTTTCAAGTTCCCGAGCTGAGGAGCCTGCCTTCAGTTGCAAAGATGCAGAATTGCTCTTTGGCAGCCCTTTTCACATCTGTTGCCACAGTTTTCCGAGACCTAGGTTGTCCCAGCGGTGCTGTGATATGTGGGATGAACATCTCTTGGGTGTTGGCGAATGCCACGGAAGAAGACGTAGAAATGATGTGCTTGAGCGAGGAGGAGTACCTCATCAGGAAAATGGGCCCCCCAAAATCTACCAAGTTCCTCCCCATCTGCATCACCTACATCCTCATCTTTACGGTGGGGGTTCTGGGCAACGCCCTGACCTGTGCGGTCATTTTGCGCTACAGGGTGATGCAGACCCCCACCAACTACTATCTGCTGAGCCTGGCCATGTCGGACCTGCTGGTCCTGCTTCTGGGCATGCCGCTGGAGCTCTACGAGATGCAGCAGAACTACCCCTTCCTGCTCGGGGAGGGGGGCTGCTACTTCAAGATCTTCCTGTTCGAGACCGTCTGCTTTGCCTCAATCCTCAATGTCACGGCGCTCAGCGTGGAGCGCTACGTGGCGGTCATGCACCCCCTCAAAGTCAAATTTATGACCACGCGCACTCACGTCAAGAAGGTCATCTTCATGTTGTGGGGGCTGTCCATGCTGTGTGCCGTGCCCAACACCAGCGTGCACGGGATTTGCACGCTGGATCCGTGGTTTGGGCGGGAGTTTCCTCAATCTGCCATCTGCCGTACGTATCTTAAAGATTTCCAGCATCTTTGCATTCAACACTGCGGTTTATGACTTGTTACACAAGCATTTATTTCTTGTAGATATTCGATTGCATCAAAAATCTTCTCCAGACGAGAACCCGCCGAAATGTTTTTGTCTCGTTTTGGACAGAGTTGTGATCCTGTTGGGTGTTTGATCTCCGTCCGCAGATGTAAAGTCCAGAAGGATATACAACCTGATCATCCTGATCTCCACTGTGGCCTTCTTCATGCTCCCCATGTTGATCATTAGCATTCTTTACCTGCTCATTGGATTGCAGCTGCGCCGAGAGAAGGTGATGACCCTGCTTGGTACCGACCGCAGCTTCGGGCCGGAGAGCGTCTCCAGGTCCCACAGGCAAAGGCTCAACAAGCGCAACGTTCAAGTCACCAAAATGCTCTGTGAGTGTTTTTTCTTTGGCTTTTGGTACAGTTAGATCAGAGGGAACGTACTGAAAACATGACCAACTTGCCTGACTGATGTGGAAATGCATGGCCTTGCTGCCTTGCTGCTCATACCTTTGATTTTGACCCCAATTACCATTTTATTTCCATGGAAGGTCCTCCATTGGGAAGAGGGGGTTTCAGATTGTGTTGGTTAAAGTAGAGAGGCATGTGGGAAAAGAGCAGGACACAGATTGGGACAGGACAGAGTGCAGTGATTGTGATCCCACATTGTCTGTTTTTAGGATGCAGACATCTGATCTGGATGTTTTCTGGATTGCTCCAAGGGTGGGTCCTCTAAGCCTCGCAACCTCTGAGCCAAGTCCCACTACTTAATACATTTGTATAAGAATCAAAGCAACGTTGTGTGTCTTTGTCCAGGCAAAGTCCATTTTTTCTTTGGCTATAGATGAACTCGCCTTGGCATAGCAAGGACTGACTTCTCTCTCTGTCTCCCATTAACATTGAAACAAAAGATAATAATGGATCCCCAGTTTTCAACTATCCAGACCTTTGTGCAGTTTCAATAATGACCTGTTTTAGAACATACATTTCTGACATAATATTTGCACAGTTGGCAGAAATAGCTGCGTTTCTTTTAAAGATCTCTTTGTCCAGTTGAAAGGAACCCGTATGATGTAGCTGTTGTGTTGTCTTCCAGGCGTGTTGGTGGGCGTCTTTGGCCTGTGCTGGGCCCCGTTCCACGTGGACCGCTTGATGTGGAGCTGCATCGAAAACTGGTCTCCGCAGTATCACCTGATCTTTGAGAACGTCCACATCGTCTCCGGGGTTTTCTTCTACCTGAGCTCCGCAGTCAACCCCATCCTCTACAACCTCATGTCCACAAAGTTCAGAGAAATGTTCAGTCTCGTCACGTGCTGCTCCAAAGGCAGGCAAGGTCGCTCCAGTTTAAAAATGATCCAACACAGCACCTTTACTGAGAAAATGCCCAACAGTAAGAAATGGACTTAATCCCCTCTGATGCAGCATCAGATAAAGATAAATCACCCATGAAAAAAACTGGACAGTGAAAACATAACATATACAAGACCTGAAGGTCCGTTCACATCCTAAAAACCAGGGCAAACACATGGACTGACCGCAGCTATCATCAATACTCAAGATAATAAAAACGAGATAAAACCTTTCAAATAAAATGTTCCTCATCCTTCCAACAGAGCTCTAAGACTTGAGAAGAATTCTATTATTTGATAAGCATCAAACTCATTCCATTGGCCATACATATTTCTGAAGGTACTGTATAATATTCACCTATGTTGCTTTCGCTTTCATTTGTCAGGTATTTGAATGCATTTAAACTATCTGGAGACATTTGCAAGGAAATAAGTGTTTTTCTCCCCGCCATACCTTGATGCTAAATGCTAGATGAAGACAGTCAGACAACACGAAGTACTGAAAAAAAACCCTGACCAAAGAGCATGACAAATTCCCTGAGAGACTTGAAAGATGCTTCACTAGTGTAGCTCAAAGTTCACAAGAATTTTGGGAAAAACAAATAACTCATGAATGAAGAATGTTATTTCTTGTATAGTCGGTCCGCATAATGTTCAGGGCAGCATTTCCAAGCTTGCATGTCTGCCACAAACCTCTTCTTGAAAACCCAGACTTGTGTGTATCTGATTAAGAAGAGACAATGAACTTCGACTGTGTGAAGGAGCGCAATTGGCCGAATATTTTGATAAGGAGGGAGGCAATGAAGCTGAATGTGACATGAAGAGTCGTACAGTCATACAGAATCATCGTTTTTCCATCCATCCATACCAATAGCGATGTTGTATAAGTTTACCTTCTACAAGTAATGTACAATTTTTGTGGCTTTATGTATTATCTAAAACGTTTACTTACTGTATCTATTAAGTCTTTTCAAATTGACCTTAAAAAGTTATACCTTTGATGATGTGAAGTGAAGGTGAATTATGTGTATCTACTATTTAAACATGTTAATCGTCTTTTTGAATACTGCACTGGAGGAAATGTGTTATTTTAAGAAAGCCTGCATGTTTTTTTCCTTTGAATTTCCTCTGTTAGAGGACACGTGCCGTCTGTTCTTGAACATGTGTTTGAATAAGTGCTTTAAATGTGCCAGCGGACTTGCGGCATTGGTTTTAGCGTTGGTTTTACTTGGAATACAACAAGCTTAATGAGCTCCAGGGACACCAACGTCTTGAATGTAAACACCACAGCTCAAGTGCTGCCTAAACGGTTTGACTTATGGGGCACGAGGCAGTACCATTTATGCTGGGGCATCTCAGCTAAACTTTTGGAAAGTCCTACTGTTTAGGAAAAACTCATTTGTACAAATTGTGATGACGATCACGAGGCGCGTAAGCTCGGGGAAAGATGATGTTGTCGGGGCAATAACGTGGAAAAGATTAGCAAAATAAATGAGGAGATGAAGCAGGATGTGACGGATGACCAAGATGAGCCAGCTGTGGAATAGTGACAAAACAGTCTTGAATGACTCAGTGTTATCGGTGTGCCGCACCAGCACTAATGAACACTAATCTATTCGCAGTTTCCATCATCATTACAGCAGACTCTGCTTACACAGACTCTGCAAATAGACCTATTTAAGAGGCTGCAACACAGTATCACCCAAGTAATGGTATGCACTCAAGCAGACAATATCACTTAACTACAAAGAAGTGTGAATAGAATGATGGCGCTGGGAAATTAAACGACGCGTCGGCCCCAACAAGAATTTTAATGCGTTACATCACGCTTTCACAAAGTGCACCGAGCAGAGATCTGGAAACGTTCTACCAGCTGAAGGCAATGAAAAAGAGGGGAAAAGTTAATGCGATACTCAGTGGGAGTTACAAGAGAGAAGAACAACAAAGTTTTTGACCTCACACATTGGGATCTGACCTGGCGAAATCGATCCCACGCAAAAGAGTGACTTAGATTTGTCTCTCTTGACATGTCTTCATTCCATTCTCAAATGCTAAAAAAGTTGAAGGTTTCACTCTTTTTTTTTTATTTTATCCGACAGTGGTCGCAGTGGGGAAAATTACATATCACAAGTACAAAGAAAGAAGTCAATGATGAGGGCTGAAAACCCATAAAAATCCAGCTCTCTTTCAGTGTTCTCTTGACGTCTGTGATAATTGGGGACACATGCAAGACGGGAGAAAAATACAAAGGCAGAGGCGCGACGGGTATGGAGGAGAAGATTTGATTTTCTGCCAAGGGGGTGATGTGAGATGTCGCTTAATGAGATGACGTGAGGATGAGGGTGGAGACTGAAGTTGGTGAACTGACTGCTCAAAGTTTCCTCCGACATTCATGGGGAGGGCGAGTTCAAAGAAAAGGCAAAGGGGGATCAATATGTCATTGATTTGATGTGTTAAATAGAGGCCTGAGACATCTTATGCCGCACCATTGCCATGATTCGAATTTCTGTGGAGCAGTAAAAAGCAGTCTCGGGAAAAAGAAATAAATAACCCAAATAAAAAGGCATAGAATAAATCTAATTCATGTTGCCATGTATAAGTACATTAGGTATTATATGTGATTTATGGGTTTTTGAAAGTCAGTGGACCTGTTTAAAGAATGCAGGAAAAAAAACAATTTACCATTTGATTGTGAAGATACTTCACAGTGAGCTTTATGCTATTGGGGTAATGCCAATGCCGTCCCTTTGCCTACTTTGAAAGGCATTGTTTATTGGCTGGATAGTACTGTGTTTGGTCAAACTTAGTGGACGTGGGATGAGGAGAGAAAGATAGACCTGATTGTGACCTGGTTTAATTATACAAATAATAAAAGTATTTATAGTGTGAGGGACGGGGCTTTAAACCGTGGATTCGTGGCTCTGTTTTCCCCTTCGTTTTGCATTTTTAACCATGATTTTTTTATTTTAAACTCATTTTGAATACATCCAGAGTGCCACATCCAAAACTCAAAGGGAGGCAAGAAGATTGCAATTCTACAGATACAATCTCCAGGAACTCTTCAAAGGCGTAAGCCGTACACTCCACAGAAGTGGGATTTTCGTACACAGTAGGGGGGTTTTTATGTATGAAAAAAGAACAGTTATTTCAATAAGCATGTGAGCGGACATTTGAAAGAAGGCCGTCTGGACGGATGAGTCTGAAACCATGTGAGTGTTTACCATTGAGGAAAACACTTGCATGAATGCCATCCCTGCAGAGATCTATGTTTCTGGCAGCATCGCGCTGTAGGGGGGGTTATTCCTCTCTGAGCAAAGAGGGAAAAGAGGACAGAAGACATGATGGGCAGTGTTAAATACATGTTTATTATTGTCGAAAACCTGTGTCAGTCATCTCCATTCACTCTTTTATCTTTATGTTTCCAAAATGGAAACCAAAAGCGGCAACGGAAAGCTATCCAAAGACAACCCCCACAGGGAGGTACAGCTTATAACTCATAAATGACATTTTAAAATCATTAAGAACTTACTATTGTTCACAGTCTTGTTCAGAACAAGGAGAGGACACAGTTGTTGAGTGTTTGCGTTCAGCTGTACATGATGGATATTCAGCCGCTACAAAAAATGTGCTTTGATTGTTTAATATTATGTAACAAAGAAGCTAAAATACAATAAAAAAAAGTCCACAGGCCTATTGAAAGGATTCTCAAAATCCCGACCTACAGTGGGAAGAAGGTGAACCGTTTGTGTGAAAGCGGCATCCAGTCACTCCTGCAATTTCTAAGCTCTTTAGAATGATTGAGTCTTTTTGGGTAATTGTTCTGGTTCCAGTGATGATTAGCTTCACCGCCTCGATAATGAATGTCTTGTCAGACGCCTAATCTTTGTTTTTGTTCGCAAAGATATCAGTAAACCGACCAGACAATACCAGCGCGCAGTTATCTACGAAAACAGTTTCAAATGGATTAAGAATCCCAACACAAATGCACAACGCAGCCGCCTCGAAAGCCTCACCTCATGTGTCCCTGAGCGGGATGAGCCTGTGTGTGTGTGTACAGAGAAAACAGACTAAAAAATAACTTCAAACCTGAAAACACATATGTGCGAATACAGATTTAAGGGCAAATGTCAGCCTGGAAGGGACAAGTCTCCTTAAAAAAAAAAAAAGACCCCGGCCAGTGAACAGTGTTGTAAGAAAAGTAATTCAAAGGCATCTCCTCATCTTACACCCACTGAATTGCTTTTACCATTCAGTACTTCTGTGTCAAGGTTGTGGCACAGCATTTTTTTTTTAAGATGCAGCCTTGTGCACCTGGAACACAGAAAAATCTATATATGTTTTCGGTAAATAACAGAAAATGAATGACTCATTGAATTGCACCACACACACACACACGCACACACATATGCAGTGAGGAAAATAAGTATTTCAACACCCTGCTGTATTGCAAGTTCTCCCAATTAGAAATCATGGGGATGTCCGAAATTGTCATCGAAGGTGCATGTCCACTGTAAGATATGATATATCACTATGTATGATTTTTAAAACTATTTATTTGAATGATACAGCTGCAAATAAGTATTTAAACACCTGAGGAAATCAATGTTGATATTTGGTACAGTAGCCTCTGTTTGCAATTACAGACAACAAACATTTCCTGTAGTTTTTCCACCAGGTTTGCACACACTGCAGGAGGGATTTTGGCCCACTCCTCCACACACACATCTTCTCTAGATCTGTCAGGTTTCCGGGCTGTCGCTGAGAAACAGAAACAGTTGCTGAATTTGAGCTCCCTCCAAAGATTCTTTATTGGGTTTAGGTCTGCAGACTGGCCACTCCAGAACCTTGCAATACATGGCCTCGGTCATCCTCCCCTTAATACAGTGCAGTCGCCCTGTCCCATGTGCAGAAACCCGCCCACAAAGCATGATGCTCCCACCCCCATGCTTCACAGTAGGGATGGTGTTCTTGGGATTGTACTCATCATTCTTTTTCCTCCAAAAACAATTGGTGGAACTAAGACCAAAAAGTTCTATGTTGGTCTGATCGTACCACATGACTTTCGCCCATAACTCCTCTGGATAATCCAAATGGTCATTGGCAAACTTAAGACCGGCCTTGACATGTGCTGGTTTGAGCAGGGGAAGCCTTCCGTGCCTTGCATGGTTTCAAACCATGACGTCTTTGTGTAGTCGCATTGGAAACGGTGGTCCCAGCTCTTTCCAGGAAATTGACCAACTCCTCCTTTGTAGTTCTGGGCTAATTTCTCGCCTTTCTTAGGATCCTTGAGACCCCACGAGGTGAGATCTTGCATGGAGCCCCGGTCCGAGGGAGATTGACAGCCATGTATAACTTCTTCCATTTTCTAATGATTGCTCCAACAGTGGACCTTTTTTCCCCAAGCTGCTTGGCAATTTCCCCCTTAGCCCTTCAAGCCTTGTGGAGGTGTACAATTTTGTCTCTAGTGTCTTTGGACAGCTCTTTGGTCTCTTTGCCATGTTAGTAATTGGATTCTTACTGATTGTAAGGGGTGGACAGGTTTCTTTATGCAGCTAGCGGCCTCAAACAGGTCCATCTAATTTAGGATGATAGATGGAGTGGAGGTGGACATTTTGAAGGCAGAATAACAGGTCTTTGAGGGTCAGAATTCTAGCTGATAGACAGGTAATGAAGCTATATAAAAATGCCTATCTATCTATCTATCTATCTATCTATCTATCTATCTATCTATCTAT